GAGACAGGATTTCTCTGTGGCTTTGGAGGCTGTCCTGGAACTAGCTCTTGTAGACCAGGCTGGTCTCAAACTCACAGAGATCCACCTGCCTTTGCCTCCAAGTGCTAGGATTAAAGGCATGAGCCACCAACGCCTGTCGGTCAAAGCTTTTCTTGCAGTCTCAGAATGTCTTGCTTATAGAGTGCACTTCTTTGTTAAGCAGGGAGAGTGTTGGAGAATTCTTATCAAATGTAAAAGAAATGATAGAGAAAACATCAAATGCAGTCCAATTCAGAAGGGGGTGGTGACACACACCTTTAATCCCAGCACTCAGATCTCAAATTCAAGGACAACCAGGGTGGGGGGTGCAGCCCAACCCTGAACCAAACATGATTTCAGAATAAACTGTGACAGACTAGGTATGTGTCAATTCTTCTACAATTCAGAATTAGAAAACTGTACAATTCATGTGCAAAACAATGGATTGAAATACCTGATTATATCAAGCCAGCTGCTGCTTTCTAAGAGAGAAAACCACTTTATATCTGTGTCCCAAAATTCCGTACTGTTATCTAAAAACAGCAAAAAAAATACAAGAGACTTCAGGTTATTGTCCACAACCACACCTGCCTAGCACACCCACGATGTCAGCAGACTGTTCAGCTCAGGAGTTCCAAGTGAATGAAATAAAGAACAACTGTAGAATCAGTCCTGGGTCAAACAGTAAAATCATCTACTTCAAATCTACTTTACAACACATATCATGATTTGGCTATCGATATACAGTGGTGTTTCCATTTCCTTTCTGTGTCAGTCATCTTTATCACAATACCAGCACAGTATATGCAATGAAAATTCAATGTCAGCTGAATAAATCCTAAAATAGTAGAGTGTGCTAAGCTAAGGAGTCAAAGTTAGGAAAAGCTATCTCTAAACAAGACAAACCCAGAGAAAAGGCTTTGCAAGAATGTAAAGAATTCAGCCAGGCATGGTGGTGGACGCCTTTAGTCCCAGCACTACAGAGGCAGAGGCAGAGGCAGAGGCAGGCACATTTCTGAGTTTGAGGCTAGCCTGGTCTACAGAACAAGTTCCTGAACAGTCACGGCTACAGAGAGAAACTCCGTGTCTCGAAAAACAAAACAAAACAAAAAACTAATCAACAGACCACCGTGTGTGACTAAGTCAGTCAAGTTTTCAATTGTTACTAACAGGTTGGGAGGGAAGACAAATGTGGCAGTGGTGGGGTGGGGGGTTGGCGTGGTTGGAATGTGTTTGCATATCTTATTAACACAATTGTTTTGCACTGTTAGAAACTGTACATGACCAATGAGGGCTAAAACAAATTAAAACATTCCCAGTTTGTGAGAAAAGCATTCACATTAGAAATGATTATGAAGGTTAGTGGCTCCAGGTACACAGAACCTTTGAGAGGAGCTACAATGTTCACCATAGAGCCTGGCAAACTGGGGAGAGAGGGGAGAAGGAGATGGCTATGTGACCACTGAAACAGTGGCCACAGTGAGAACCTGGAGGGCTGGACAGGAGCAGTATCTCAATGGCAGCCGGAGCCCTGGACTTCTGTCTATAGCCTGACACTGCTTGTCAATGACCCAGGGCTGAGAGACCCTGCACACCAACATTGCCTTTCTCCATTTGACAAAGATTTCACTGTTCTTACCTATCAGAAACAGCTGCTTAAATTTACAGTATGCATTCTGGATTTCCTGCAGGGACAGGAAGTTGCTTGATAAGTCTTCAGTTTTAACAATTTCATAGGGTGGCCGGTGGATGGTCTTGTAAATTCTGGGTGTCAAAAAGTAACAAGAGGTTAGAAGAGCAAACATGAATGTGAATGGTTTATTTGTCCTGTGTATTTGCCACGAGCCAGTCTGTGTTAGGAGCCCTGTGGCTATCACCTCATTTAACCCTCACTCACAGGGACAGTGGATGTGGAAACAAAGGTCATGTTTAGGTCAAAGCAATTTAATTACATAACCTGCTCCTTTTGTTGTTTTAAGCGATCTTTGACTTTTATCAAGTTTATTTTTGAGGGGCTGGGAAGATGGCTCAGTGGTAAAGAGCAATGGCTGCTCTTCTGCAGCAGCTGGGTACACCCACAGAGGCTCAGTCATCTAGAATTTTAGGCCCAGGACACAGGAACAAGTGGTGCCCAGGCAAAACACCCCCACACATAAAATAATTAATTAATTAATTAGATTAAAATTATCTTGAGAAACTTCTACTCCATATAATAGAACAGTACAGTGACATACCCTATGACCTAGATTTGACAGCTGTTAACATTATAGCCATGATGCCACGCCCCTAACCCCAGTCCAACACTTCTGTGAATCTCTGAAAACAGTGCAGTTGACCTTCCTAATGATTATGCTATACTGGTATCCTGTAAGTTCATTAAAATGAGTATTATTACTGGCATTCCTCCAACACAAAGCTACCATACTAGGTAAGCAGAATAGACATACAGTAAGAACGATACTACTACCTGCTTCTTATAGAACAGGAGCTAAATGGACCACAACAAAGCATAGGATGAGTACTGACCCATCCAAGAAGCTCTTCTGGATCTGCAGAGCACCATCGTCCTGTTCTTTGGGTAGTGCTGACATTTTCAAAAGGGCGCTTCCATTGTGGCAGGACCAACACCAGATCTACAGAAAGGAAAGGGAAAGTGTTTGTCAGATGCAGATGGAGGATACTCTTAGTCAACATTGGATGACAGTATCCAAGAAACAAATTGTTCCTAATCATTTAACAGCTTATCCGGGGCAAAAACTGGCAGGCCTTTGGGGATATACAGCTATATCTCATTTTTCAGTTGGGACATATATAATGATAATCTTTAATCAGAATTGTCTCATCTCATCTGAGGAACAAATGGACACACTAATTACTATTTATTTCAGAGTAACCAATACAAGCAACTTAGCAAAAGTGGCAAGGATCAGAATGATCTGATGTGGTAGAATATTCCTGCACACTGTGTAAATTATGCTCTGATTGATTTAGTAAAGAAGCTGACTGACCAATAGACAGAGGGAGTAAGGTAAGGCAAAAAAACCAAACTAAGGAAGGGAAGAAGGGAGGAGTCAGAGATAATTGAGCCAGACCCTTGTGGGTGGCCTGCAATACCACCACTTTTCCACTGTGGTGACATATGCACTGAGGTGCAGTAGCCTGGTTGGTGAACCTAAAAGTGGTTCAGCACCAGTCCAGGCACAACCACCCAACTACATAGCTTGTTAGTAAGTTAACTGCTAGTAGGAAAATAGCCCAATTCACTTAAAATGTCCTTGAACAGAAGGTTAAAAATGGCTAGTTTTAGGGCCCAAGTGATGGCTCTGTGGGTGAAGTACCTGTTGCACGAGCCTGATGACCTGAGTTTAATCCCCAGATCACAAGCAAAGTGGAAGGAGAAAACCAACTCCACAAGGCTGTCCTCTGACCTCACTTGTACTGCATGCAGTCTCTATGTATCCACAGCCCCCACTAATAATAAAATTTTTAAATGGTCAATTTTATAATCTTGACTATGAAAAATCATAAAGTGTCTGTCCTACTGAGTTGAGAGTGCCTTTGACAAAAAAGGTGCATATTTAGGCTTTAGAAAACTAGCTTTTTTAGTATTGGAAGGAGCTAGGCAAGCTGTCATGGAAAAAACAGCCACCAGTCCATCTAGCTGTGATGCCTATAGACCACAAAATGACCAGCCCAGGAGACAGTGCCAATGATGCAACTGTGGCACTTGGGGATAACCAAAAGCTATCTAATCAGACTTTTATTCTAAATACTTATCCTTATGTCCATAGAGAAGTGTAACTCTCACTCCTCATCTAAGAAGCCTCCTTTTAGAGCAGTTGGTGACTACTACAGAGATTCACCGCTGGTCAAATGCAGGAAACAAGTGGAAGAAAATTGGGGTGCTCAACCCTAATTGATACATTTACAAAGATGCAAAGTTTTTAAGAACTAGAGGATTAGGACACCTGCTGGGAAAGAGTTGCACCCACGAAACCTCAATAGTATAGCTAATTGAGTAAGAAAAGACCTGCATAATGAGAACACCAGTTAGCATGCCAATGTGGATGGGGGAAATTTCACAAGGCCCCTACCTCAGACAAAGAGCTCTATACGCAATCAATGGAAGGCTAAGAAAGGAGGAATCATCTCCAAGGATGATCCAGATGGGTTAGCCATCAACACATATACACTCAGCAAGTTGTGTGTGTGCATGCAAACATACATACATACATGTATATGTGTATACATATATGCATACACATATGTAACAACAATAAAGAAGAGGACATGAATTTGAGGAGTAGGGAAGGATATGGGAATTGTTGAGAAGAGAGAAGGAAATAATGTAAATACAGTGCTCCTGTATGAAATCTCAAAAAGTTAAATTTCTAGAAAAAATTTAAAAAGTGAATACAGCGAGCTTATCATTTCAAAGAAAGCAATTTACAAAATGTTGCCGATGACAAAAATAATAAGCTTTAAAGCAAAAAATAAAAATGTGGAAAACTAGCACCTGACATTACTTGAACAGCTACTCATAGTTACTCTTCTTGTGAGAGGATGGTATTGATGGGTCAACATCTAGATGCATAACCATGAACCATTATGTTGTATCTTAATGTGTAATAGAGCAAAATACATTCTCTAAATTCTATTCAAAATATAGGACAGATTGGTGGATTTTAATAACAGTTTCTTGTGTTTTCAAATTCCTAACTGTGGCTAACCTCTGTGACAGTGTCACAGACCATGTTCTGGTGCACTGTCAAATAACAATATTCTCAGTCCAGCTACCAATGATGCCTTCCTTCCCAAATAAATGTCTGAAGCTGGAGTTTCTCTGTGTTCTTGAACCGATCTCCAGCATACTACAACAAACTGAATAAAAGAACCTAGCTGGCATCTATTTCCAAAATGCTAAATAGTGCTGTTCCATTTTATTGTTTTGGACAGTTATTTTCCATAAAAGTATGTTACTTATGCTAACACATTTTACTTAAATTTTTTTCATTAAAATTCAGTTTGGAAAAAAAATTTAACAGGGCCTCACTCTATAGCCTATGCTAGCCTCAAACTCACAGCAACCCTTCTGCCTTAGCCTCCTGAGTGTGGGTATTACAGGCATGAGCCACAACCGTCCAGCCTCAACTGGAATTGCTAATACTACACAACTTATATAAACAAAACCTCTTTCACAGAGTCACTAAGTTTTAAGAGTGTAAAGGTAAATATCTGAACGGCAGCTGTCAACCACAGGCTGAAGACTGGTGGAATGTGATCCTGCTATATCCCAAAGTCATTTTTTAAAACTCTTCGACTTTGTCTAGTTGTATATGGAAAACTCACATAGAAATCTGTGTCTCTGGCTTCCTCTGAAAACAATCGGCCATTTGGCAATATTCAGCCAACAGTGCTACAGGCTGGTGCTGCAGAGCTGCCCTCTTGGCTAGGCAGAGGGACTTTGCCCCTCTGCAAGGGCCACACTCATATCTGTCTAGCTTCCATGGGCTCTGGGTGTGCGATGGAGCTTCACATTGGCTTACATTCAAGATTCTTCTGGCAAGCCAGCCTATCTACTACACAGCACTTTCTTGTAAGTCTCATTTTTTACTCAAGTCCCACAGGTTGGGTAATTCCCAGCCAATAATCAGAAATGGGGGTGTCATCTAGTCTTGCTTTATTTGATCAGTGACATACTAAATATGGCTGCTAGCCTATTCTGTGAAAACAAAAATCACCTTTATGTTGTCTCTAGCAGAAAACTTGACAGGCCCAAATCAAGATTAACAGCTGGCCAAAACAAATTAAATTCCATTATTCATAGTGTCAGCTCAGGTTCAAATGAGTTAAGTGCTAAAGCAGGTGGGCACATTATCTTCCTAAAGCCTTTCAATGTCTCTGCTAAAATTATAAGAGCATTTGTGATGACTTTAGACTTGTCCCAGGGACCCTCATGTTCATGAGACTGCTCTAGGGAGTCCCTGTGGTTATTTCTGGATTGCTCTTAGACAGTAGACAGACTCTGGAGCACCAGAGCCAAGGGCTTTGCGGGGACCACTGCTAGGATGGCTGAGAGCTGCTGATGTCCCTCTCCCGGGGTCCCAGATGCACTTACTGGTATGCCATGGCCCTGAAAACGCTGCACATCCTCTTCGAGAAGGGGAGTGGGGACAACAAAGTATGCTGGCAACCTAGAAGAAAGAGGTGGCATCAGCTGTAACTGAGTCTTTTTCTGTCCCACCAGCCAACTCCCAAATAATGACAGAGACTTTTTATTAATTGTGAAAGCTTGGTCTTCAGCTTAGGCTTGTCTCAACTCGCTCTTATAACTTAAACTAACCCATTTATATGAATGTATGTTGTATCATGTGGCATTACCTCCTGTTTCCTTCCATGTCTCCTGGCTTCTCCTGAGTGCTTAGATGCTCCTCCTTTCTTTTTCTCCCCAGAAATCCCACTATACCTCCTGCCTAGCTATTGGCCATTCAGCTTTTTATTACAACACAGCAATATATCTTCACATAAGAGACGTAAAGTTTTTAAGGTTAAGAAACATAAAAAGCGTAAGTTGTTTATCTAAGATGTTTTTAGGCCTAAAAATATATTTTTAGTATGGTAATGCAAGTTAAGATAAAAAGTGCTTTAGTGCCAGGTGGTGGTGGTGCATGCCTTTAATTCCAGCACTCGGGAGGTCAAGGCAGATGGATCTCTGTGAGTTTGAGACCATCCTGATCTATAAGAGCTAGTTCCAGTACAGGCTCCAAAGATACAGAGAACCCCTGTCTTGAAAAACCAAAAAAAAAAAAAAACCCCCTTTTTTAAAAAACAAAAAAAAAAAAAAAAAAAAAAAAAAAGTGGTTTAGGTATAAAACTTTGGATCACTAAGATAGGGTAGATAACAGAGTAGTTTCCCTGAATTTGTCAAATACAAATAGACTGGGTGTTGTGACTGTAATTCTTACCTGATAATTATTCTTTTTTTAAGATTTATTTTTATTTATTATGTATACAGTGTTCTGTCTGCATGTATCTTTGCAGTCCAGAAGAGGGCACCAGATCTCATTACAGATGGTTGTGAGCCTCCATGCGGTTGCTGGGAATTGAACTCAGGACCTCTGGAAGAATGGCCAGTGCTCTTAACTCCTGAGCCATCTCTCCAGCCCCCTGATAATTATTCTTGTTGTACACAGTTTTACTATGTTAAAGTTAAAACCTTTTCTTTTTATTTAGCCAAAAAGGGGAATGTTGTAGGATACTTGTGCACTGTGTGAAGATGTATTTGCTGTGCTTGGTGGAATGAGAAGCTGAACGGCCAATAATGAAGCAGGTAGTATAGGAGCGGCTTCTGGAACCTCTGAGAGAGAAGACAGGAGATGAATCTAGGTGTGCTAGAGACACCAGGCGACATGGAAGAAGCAAGATGGGCTGTATTTGACAGAACATAGCTTAACAGAAATGGATTAAGTTACAAATACTAGTTAAAAACAAGCCTAAGCTAAGGCCAAGCTTTCATAGTTAATGAAGAGTCTGGGGGTCATGATTTGACAGCTGGCTGATGGGACAGGAAAGACTTGTTACAATCAGCTTTCAGTCCGACAAATTCACAGAACATGAAAGCTCACATCAAGGAAGTAACAATGACTACAAAAGAACCACACTTCTCTGATAAGAACCAGAGATGAACTGCCACCCCTAGGTTGATGACACTGACCCAATAGGTTAGGAATCTGGATTCGAACCCTAGCTATGCCTATGGCTCTGCACAGCCCTACCTCTGCTATTGAGGAAGGTAAGCTGTTTTGCCTTTCTGGGTCTGTGTCTTACTCTACAAGATGATGGAGAGGAGGAGTGTGAGTAAGGCTCTGCAACAGAGCATCTGCCTTGAACGCACAAGGCCCTTCGTTTAATCTTCAGCACTGAAAAAGGTAGAGACTAGAAAATGTAATACCTAAAAGTATATGAAATCCGAAATCTCATCCAACAATAACAACATAAACAACTGTGTTGCTCATAATTAAACTAATAGAAAAACCAGTAACCATGAAGACTGCGATGCATTTTATCACAAACTTTGACAGGGGTATGATAGCACATGACTTTAATCCCAGCACTTGGGAGGCCAGATCTCAATGAGTTTAAGACCGGCTTCTCGGTCTATGTACTGAGTTCCAAGACTGATGGAACTACATGAGAAATACTCTTGTCTCAAACAAACAAACAAGTTCTGCCAACAACAAACATTTGAGGAGTGCTCCTCTATGTCGGACATTGCTCTAATTGCTCACCTGAGTGACTCATTTAATCCAATACCACTAACAGATATGTAGTATGATTAACAGATATGTAGTATGATTGCCATTTTATAAATCAAGAAGCTAAGAAATGGAGACACTACACTGACTGAAGCTCTTCCTGGATCACACCAAAGACCTGGAGCCAGTGTGATTTCATTATCTACAGGAGAAATTTCATCTCCAGAATAAGCCGGCTGAACTGTAAGACATGGGGAAGCTGGATTTTTCAGAGGGATCGAAAATACATGGGCATACTAGCTCCCAGTCAAGAGATCTTGTTTACAGACCCTAGCTTACAGGATCCTAGTTTACAGACCCTACGGAGCTGTAAACAACTCTCCCTCAAAGAGTTTGAAATAAACCCTCCCAAGACAGAAGGTGCCTGAGTGGATAAATTGCACAGAAGTAATCAGACAGTGTTTGCAGACAAATACACTGCATGCTTGACCTCAATCTTACAAGCATCAATGGAAATGATAAATTTCAGAAAAAGAAATCTTTATGTGTAGGTATGTGTACCTAAGTTTATGTCTGTGCACCATGTCCATGCAAGTGACCTCAAAAGCCAGAAGAGGGTGTTGGATTCTCCGGAACTGGAGTTACAGACAGGTGTGAGTCACCATGTGGGTGCTGGGAGCCAAACCCCAGTCCTCTGCAAGAATAGAAAGTAGTCTTATCCACTGAGTCATCCCCCAAAACTCCAAGGAAAGATGGATCTTTAAAGCAAAGAGATCAAAATACAAATGACTGTTCCATCAATCAGTCTACAGGAGGTAGACCAAAAACTAAATATTACCAGGAGTGTGGTCATCAAACTCCACATTGTGGGAAACAATTAGCAAACAGCTTGATTTCAAGAAAAATATGATGGTTTGAGAATCCACACATAAAGCAACTTAAGAAGCCCATTAAGAAATGGCAAAATGCTACTCTGAATCGTTAACAGTAAGATTAAAAAATGAAAGAGAGCCAGGTGGTGATGGTGCATACCTTTAATGCCAGCATTCAGGAGGCAGAAGCAGGACAGTGGCAGGTGGAACTCTGTTGAGTTCCAGTCTGGTCTACCAAGTGAATTCCAATACATCCAGAGCTATACAGTGAAACTCTGTCTTAAACAAACAAACAAGCAAACAAACAAAACCCCAAAACAAACAAACAAAAAGGATGAAAGAGAAATTTTTCAAAAATGAGTCAAGAATTGGTGGCACACTCCTATAATCTTGGCAATTGGACAGCCAGTCTGGGATATATGGTGAAATCCTATCTCAAAACAGACACACACACATAAAACAAAACAAAACAACTTCTCTCCACCCCAAGGCCAAACCAAATCATGGGGAAATTTTAAATACTAATTAGATATCAAAGAAATAATGTGAGGCTGGGCATGACACATCCCTTTAACCCCAGAATTTGGGAGGCATAGATAGGCAGACCTCTTGAGTTTGAGGTCAGTCTGGTCCTTATAGCAAGTTCCAGGGCAAGTGCTTTATAGGGAGAGCCGGTCTCAAAAAACAAAACAAACATAAAAGTAGTGTGAATTTGAAAGTATGATAATGGTTTCATTGCTGTGTTTATTAAAAACAATCCCAGTCCTTTGTTCTTTGTGCAATATATACAAAACATAAAGTGAAATGAGCTTTGAAATTCATTTCTAAGCAATCCAAAGGGGAGACAAGTAGGTGGGGGTATAGAGCAAGCAGGATTAGCTATGACCCTATGATTACAGAGCAGAATCATAAATCATAGAGGAATGCAGTGGGGATTAAAGTTGCTGTTCTGGAATGCCATGCTATCGGGGTGTCCAGCAGCATCCCCTGCTATCTGTGTCCAGCAGCATCCCCTGAGCTCAGGTGGGATGCAGACTCAGGCATGCCCCACCTGCTCAGTCAGCACCCCAATTCAGACAAGCTCCTGAGTGACTGAGATGTCTAACTGTGGGAAGCGCTGACTGGACAGTAACTTCATCATAGCTCACCATTGCAACACCATCTCAGTTCTCTGGAGCTCTCTGAGGAATCTCCATATTATAAAGCGGCCTTGCAAGTCTTCCCCAATATTCTACAATGTTAGCTCTCTGGCTAATTTTAGCCTCTGTTCCTGAGCACCACCCCAGGAGCGTGTTCTCCCCTGTCCCACCAGCAGTCTGTTGAGACAATGAGTCCTCTCTCCTCAATAACTGTCACTTTAGACAGTGGAATGAGTTCAGAGAGAAGAACCTCTCTCTCAAGACAGCTGCAGTCATGGGAAGCTGGGTGACCCACTCAGGTACAGCGGTAGTCTGGGGAGGGTAACCCAGGCAAAGCTACATCATGCTGCATCAGCATTAGCTCATGGGGCCCCTCTGTGAAGCACACACCCCACGGGCTACATACCTTCTTGTATCTCAAGGAAGTGGAATGAAGTAACTGAACTGAAAAAAGGAGTGAACTGAAAAAAGAGAAGCAATAGGCCTGTGGCACCTGAGCAGCCAGTTCTGACAATGCAGTTTCTCATTCTCACCCAGACTGACTGGGGAGGGGTCATCTGAGACATGCAGATATAAAAAGCGCTATAAACCCACAGTATTTTATGCGGCTGTCAGCAGAGTGCTAGGAAGCTATGTTCCCAAATGATAAGACTCGAGTTTCTAAAAACAGATCCACAGAGTCATCCTTTAAAAATGTAGGCCAGATCACTCCCTGCCTCTGCGCAAACTCCCCCTCATTGTTCTCAGATTCAAAAAAGATAAATTTTTTTCTGGAAGCATCCAACTGTTCCTTCTCCTTGCCCTCTACTCCCCTTACTCTGCTTGCTCCTCCCCAGTCCCTGGGCCCTGGGTTGCTCCTGCCTACCAGGCTTCTCTGCCTTCACTTCTCTCAGCTCTGACCAAAGGCTTCTTATTCCTTCCTGGCCACGCCACGACCAACTCCAGATCTTCTGACCTTTTGCCTTATCTGTGTTTCTCCAGTTTTGTTTCTGATGCTGGTTATTGAACCCAGGGCTTCATGCACGACCGGCCAGTGCCCTATTAATTCAGTGTCTTTCTCAATAGCTCTCTACCTTGAATTTTTTTTCTATGTATTATTGTGTGTCTGGTGTGTGAGTGCAAGTGGACACATGCCATGGTGAGTGCATGAGTGGTCAGGATTTGCAGAAGTCAGTTCTCTACTTCTACCAGAGGTTCTGAGAAACAAGCTTTGGATCATGCAGCAAACAGTTTTACCTAAGCCATTTTTTTTTCTGATAGGGTCTAACCCTGAACCTGGAGCTCACCAACTGGCTAGAATGGCTGGCCAGCAAGCCTCAGGGATCATCCTGTTTTGACCTCCCAGCACTGGGATTATAGGCACATAAACTTCTTTACACAGGTTCTGGGGATCAAACTGAGGTCCTCATCCTTGTGTAGGAAGCACTTTGCCAACCAAGCCATCTTGCCAACCCTACTTTTGAGTATTCTAATAGATGCTTTAAGGATTTCTTTTAAAAGCTGCCAGTAAGAGGGGAGGAATAGGTAGGCGTTGGTGGCGCATGTCTTTAATCCCAGCACTCGGGAGGCAGAGGCAGAGGCAGAGAGGCAGAGAGGCAGAGAGGCAGAGAGGCAGAGAGGCGGTGAGGCAGAGAGGCAGAGAGGCAGAGAGAGGCAGAGAGAGGCAGAGAGGCAGAGGCAGAGGCAGAGGCAGAGGTAGGTGGATCTCTGTGAATCTGAGGCCAGCCTGGTCTTCAAAGAAAGTTCCAGGACAGCCTCCAAACCTACAGAGAAACCCTGCTTTGAAAAACAAGGAAGGAAGGAAGGAAGGAAGGAAGGAAGGAAGGAAGAAGGAAGGAGCAGTTCAGTGGCACACATCCTGCTAGGAGGGCACAAGGCCAAAGCTGTCTCAATCATCACAAACAATAAAAGTAAAAGCTAGGGTTGAAAGACAGACTCTTTACACACAGTTGATGGGAGTGCCAAAGGGTACAATATCTGAGACAGTTAGTTTGGTAATTCTTAAACAGCTAAACACAGAGTTAATCGCATGTTTTGGCATTGTAATAGATTATATACCAAAGAGAAATAAAAGTCACATCCTCATAAAACTTATACATAAATATTTATGACAAATGAATGGATAAATAAAATATAGTATGTCCATACCATGGAATATCATTTGGCAATAAAAAGGAAAAGCCAGAGGTGTTGGTGCATGTCTGTACTGGATACTCATGAGACTGAAGTGGAAGAGCCTGGGTTTGATGCTAATTTGTGCTAACTAGTGAGTTCTAGGCCCACTTAGGATCCAGAGAAAGACTCTATCTCAAAAAAAAAAAAAAAAAAAAAAAAAAAAACAAATAAATAAATAAATAAATAGCCACTGCTTCTATGAAGCAGTCATAAAAGACTACCTATCCTCCTATGTTTAACTTATAAAATGTCCAGAACAGGCAAGAACTGGGAGAACTGAGGAGACATGTAGGATAACTGTTAATTTGGAGTTTCTTTACTAGATGATTAAAAACCTTCTAAAACTTACTGTGACAATAACTACAGAACAATGTCAATACATTCAAACACAGCCTGGGGAGCGGAGGGGCTAGAGAGATGGCTCAATTGGTTAGTCTGTTTTGTTTTTGAGACAGAGTCTCTTTACCTAGCTGTCTGGGAACTTGCTCTATGGACCAGGCACTCCACAAACTCACAGAGATCCCCCTGCCTCTGCCTCCCAAGTGCTGGGTATTAAAGGCGTGTACCACTATGTGTGTACTATTCTTCCAAAGGATCAGAGTTCAGTTCACAGCACCAATAGCTCACAGACTCTTTGGGATCTGTGACAGCTCATCTTGGTTGTCAACTTGACTATATCTGACACCAACTAAAACACAAGCTTCTGGGTACTTCTGTGAGGAATTTTATTCATCACATTTGAAGTAAGAAACCACACTCAATGTGGGCAGCACCTTCTAGTAGAAGCCTGGACACAAGGACAAATAGGAAGAGTCCTCCCCCCTTTTGCCAATAAGATGATCTATCTATTGTTGTGGTATTCCTTTGCTGGTATCAGAACCAACTTTTTCAAGAGTTTAACACTGACCAAAGATCAGTAGCTCTCCAGGAATCCTCCAGTCCTTTAGTGCTAGACTGGGACTGCTGAGACAGCCAGACTTGTTGACTGAACAATTACTGATTCCAAACCACATCCTGTAAGCCAATCTAATAAATCATGTGTGTGTGTGTGTGTGTGTGTGTGTGTGTGTGTGTGTGTGTGTGTGTGTGTGTGAACATCTCAATGCTATCAGATTTGCTTCTTCAGAGAACCCTAATATATGCTCTGTGGCCCTCTTCTGGCCTCCAAGGGCACCCACAGACACATATGCACATACCCACACACATATACACATGACTAATGGCGAGAGCCAACATGGAGAGCTTACCTGTCACAGATTCTGTAGCCTTCATTTACGCGTACTGTTTTGTACTTCACACTACCCTTGGTCCGCTCCAGCTCCCAAGACCAGTCTTTAGGTGTGTCAAACATTATAGTATGATTCCTGGGATCAGTGGCTAAGAAAATAAAATTAGCATGCAATGAAATCCTTGCATGACACTGGTATTTTGTTCATGTAGATACACAAGTTCTGAACCTAATTTATTATACTGAATCTATTTTTATCTAAGAATAAATCCACAGCTTAACTGTTCCACTTTTCTCCATTTTTCTGTCATCCAAAAATTGTAATGGAAACTTTACTGACATTTTCATTACATTTATTTACTTTGTGCAGGAGCAGGGACCATGGCATGCCTGTTATAGTGTACATATGTTGGTGTGAGAACAACAAGCAGGAGTCAGCTCTTCTCTCACCACATGGGTTCTGGGGACTAAGCTTGGTTGTCAGGTCTGGAGGCAAGCATATTTACCTACTGAGTCCTCACATTGGTACATGCTCTCTTTACAGTGTAGGAAAGGAGTTTTATTCTTATTATTTTGGTTGTGAGCCTAGCCTTTAACGGCTAAGCCATCTCTCCAGCCCAGGAGTTTTATTCTTATTATTTTATGTGCATTTTCTGTACGCCGAGAATGTGTGGTAAACTGTGGACTCCAGTAAATGGTGCTGGGTGCCCTATAGCTGGAGTTACAGGCAGTTGTGAGCCATCCAATACAGTGCTAAGAACTGAAATTGGTACTCAGGAAGAGCAGCACGTATTCTTAGCTGCTAAGCCATCCCTCCAGCCCCAAGAGGTTATTCTGGTTCCATTCCTTGCAAAAGTAATTTTTAGCTCTATTTTCAGTCATCTGCCCTGAGATAATTTATATAAAACAAAAATTATGTGAAGCACTGAACGATGGGCTTGGCACAAAAGCTAAGAAACGAAGTATTTTTAGCTCTACCACATGTGTGTAACATGGCACACTGATTCGAATAGCATGTCTGATTCTGGAATGTAAATCCTTCTTCAGTTTGTGATGCACTGCCTTCGAGAGGCCTGTCTAGGATGGCACTCGGTTACTGAAGACCATAAACAGATGAGAGTCACAGTGGAGGAAGTGGCCAATGGCCAAGGCCTGAATCACAGTGGCAGGAACTTTGGATACTAAATCAGCACTGTTAGAACAAAATGTCTAGAAGCACTGCCCAGAGCTTAGCAGAAATGGCTGTGGCCTTTCTCCAGGCCATCACTGTTTGCTGGAAGTGACATGCACATCAAAAAACACAAACTTCCCAGAAAAAAACAAATGTCTGATAAAACCACCCCACCTGCTTCTGTTAAATAAAACAAAATTATAGTAAAAGTAGTTAGAATAATGACAATAACCAATGTTTACAGAAGTTGAATATTCCTAATCTAAAAATACAAAAGAAAATCTGAAACTTCTTGTCTGCCAAGTGGAAAATTCCACACCTGACCTCATGTCACAGTCAAAACACAGGCACATTAAAAATATTCTATGATTAGGCAGTGGTGGTTCATGCCTTTAATCCCACCACTTGGAAGACAGACAGGTAGATCTCTGAGTTTGAGGCTAGCCTGGGCTACAGAGTGAGTTCAGGGCCCCACAGGGGAGGAAAAAAGTATAAGTGAGATAGAAAGTGCTCTGTGGTTAAGAGCACTGGCTATTCCTCCAGACTGCCAGGGTTCAATTTCTAGCAACCACATGGCAGCTCCTAACTGCTTCTCAGTCTCAGGAGATCCAATGTTCTCTTCTGGACACAACAGGTAACAAGCCCACATGTGATTCATGCAAGCAAGCAATCACACACATAAAAATCAATAAATCTAAAAATATGTACAAGACAGGAACAGTACTCATGCCTATAATGTCAACATTTAGAAGGCTAAAGTACAATCTTGAGTTTGAGGGCAGCCTGAGATACATATTGGGAACCTGCCTCAAATAACAACATAGACAAACAGATACTGTTTCCATCTAGCCAGCATAAAAATACTAGGCTGGGACTGGAGAGATGGCTCAAAGGTTAAGAGCACTTCCAAAGGTCCTGAGTTCAATTCCCAGCAATCACATGGTGGCTCACAACCATCTATAATGAGATCTGGTGCCCTCTTCTGGCCTGCAGGTGTACATGCAGACAGAACACTGCATACAAAATAAATAAATAAATCTTAAACAAAAAAACAAAAAGAAAACAAAACAAAAAAAAAAAAAAACTAGGCTGAGGGAGAAAGCTCAACCAATAATGTGTTTGCCTTTCAGGTGTGAAGACATAAGTTTGGTCTAGGCAGATGCTTATATTTTCAGAACCAAGGAGGTAGAGACACAAGGATCCGAAAAAAGTACTCACATTAACCAAACCCATACTCAAAAACAAATTGCCACCAGGCAGTGGTAGTGCATACCTTTAATCCCAGCACAGGAGGAGGTAGAGGCAAGTGGGTCTCTGTGTTCAACACCAGCCTGGCCTACAGAGTGAGTCCAAAACAAGCTGGGGTAACCATTCTTTTATCTGAAAAAGTATACTTGAAACCAAATAAGAACAGATAAAGAAGGGCACTACGGGCTGGAGAGATGGCTCAGAGGTTAAGAGCACTGGCTGCTCTTCCAGAGGTCCTGAGTTCAATTCCCAGGAACTATATGGTAATGATACCTGGTGACCTCTTCTGGCCTGCAGACATAATGGAGGCAGAAAACTGTATGCATAATAATAATAATAATAATATAATAATAATAATAATAATAAGTCAAAAAAAGGGCACTACATATAATAAAGGGAACAATTCATTGAAGACGACACAAATATAGTAAACATACATGTGCCATATGTTAGGGCTCTCAATTTCATAAAACAATCACTAATGGAACCAGGTGGTGGTGGCGCACACCTTTAATCCCAGCACTCTGGAGGCAGAGGCAGGTGGATCTCTGAATTTGACATTAGCCTGGTCTACAAGAGCTAGTTCTAGGATAGGCTCCAAAGCTACACAGAGAAACCCTGTCTGGGGCGCGCGCTCGCGCACGCACGCGCTAGCACACACACACACACACACACACACACACACACACACACAAAATCACTAATGGGCATAAAGGTCTGGTAGGTCCTGATAACACAGCATTACTTCAATACCCCCATCTCATCTTTAGATCTGTCATTCAAACTAAAATAGGATGAGGAAACTATACCATATTGTACCTCATCAAATCATAGTGAATAAAACTAGAAATCAACAGCAACAGAAACTACAAACACTCAGAGACTAGACAATACACTCCAGTGGCCAGTGGGTAATTGAAGAAAATCAGAGAGAAAAAAAAAGGAAGGGGGGGAGGATCGTCCAATCAGTAAAATGCCTTCCCTACAAGCAAAAGGACCTGTGATCCCCACAGCATATATTAAAAAATAAAAAAGCCAGCCAGGCGTTGGTGGTGCATACCTTTAATCCCAGAACTCTGGAGGCAGAGGCAGGCAGATCTCTGTGAGTTCGAGGCCAGACTAGGGTGAGTTCCAGGACAGCCTCCAAAGCCACAGAGAAACCCTGTCTCATAAGTAAGTAAGTAAGTAAGCAAATAAATAAATAAAAGCCAGGTGTGATGACATGTCCTTGTAAACCTAGCATTGGGCACTGGGAAGGCAGGAAGGTATACCTGTGGGGCTTGCTGGCCACCTGGCCTAGCTTGCTTAGTGAGTTCCAGACCACCTGGAACTGGAGACCCTGTCTCAACAAACAAATAAACAAACAAACAAAACCAAAGCAAAACAGAAAAGAAAGAAAAAGGCACAAAATGTGGACAGTGCTGTTGTAGAATATCATCTTAGGTGTGTTACATTCATTTATGCTGTGGAATATTTGTTTAATGATGCAAAAACATGTTACATTCTTTTATGTTGCATTTGTTTGACTGTGTAAAGCTGTGTTACTTTGTCTGCCTAAAACATCTGATTGATTTAGTAAAGAATTGAATGGCCAATAGCTAGGTAGAAGAAAGGATAGGCAGGGTGGCATGCAGAGAGAATAAATATTAGGAGAAATCTAGGCTCAAGAGAGGGATAGGAGCAAGAAAAGGAGGAGAGGATCCTCGGACACCAGGGGCCAGCCACCTGGCCAGCAGGAAAGAAAGATAAATAGAATAAAGGTTAAGTCCAGAAGCAAACATAATTAGAGAGAAATAGCATAATTTAAGTTGGAAAAGCTGACTAGAAACAAGCAATGCTAAGGCTGGACATTCGTAAGTACGAGTAAGTCTCCATGTATTTATTTGGGAGCTGGGTGGTAGGCCCCCAGAGAATTTAAAAAACAAAACAAAACAAAAAAACAAAAAAGAAACAAAAAACAAAAACTACACAGCACTTTAAGAATGACATCAAAATCTTTATCCTTTCATCTAAATAAATCATCCATAAATCCCAGAGTGTAGCAGTCTCTCTGAAATCTGCACATCTCCAAGCCTACCACATGCTATTACCAGCCATACTTCTAGCTGGGATGTGGCTCACGTCTTCAAACAGTTGTCTCTGCCTACTAAGGGGAACTTCCTTCACAGAACACATCAACTCTTGGCCACTTCCTTTTAATCTTACATCCCTGAGTTCAGAGACAGAGTCCTGTTCACTCCACCTTCCACAGAGTCAGTCCCACAGCAAGCACTCAATAGATGTTTACTAAATGAGTGGCAAGCTCCAAAAGCTTTCTATGTCTGTGCCCTAAAAAAGCCAGTCAGACATCTCTGACATGGGAGCCAGGATCACTAAGCAGCCACTAATGTGAAGAGTAACGGGCAGAGCAAACACACGAGGGGAGAGAAGTGAAAGAAGATGACAAACACTGAAAGCACATCTATGATGGACACTGTTCTGCCTGTTGTAAATTACATTTACACATACATGTGTTTTGTATGTGTGTGCACACGATTGTAGAGCCACAAGCAAGCCCAGAAGACTCAGATTTTCTCCTCTGCCCATGTGGATCCTGGGACTGAAAAATGAGCATCTCAGCCTTTTTCTCAACAAACTGACAAACACTCAGAATTTTAAATACTATTCATCTCACCCTTCCTCCAGATACACACAGGATTTCACTACGTGTGGACTGGTAGGCCTGGCATGTTTTCTCAAGCCAAATTAATGGAATGATTTTCTTATGAACAAATGTCCTGTGTCTAAACATCTACTATATATTATTCTCTCTTTATTTCAAGCTTTAAATCCATGGCATCCTCTAGAATCTTAAATAAACCCAAATATATTTATGTAGAAAAAAAGAACCCAGAGACAAATAGGGTTATTTTAAATTTTGTCTCAATGTTTTTTTTTTAAAGAGTTTCACATTTCCAGTACAACACTGATTTTAGATTTTTTTAATTCATAGAAATTAAAGCTCATCTGTGTGTGTGTGCACTTGCTTATACATACTCATGTGGACTCCAGAGGTTAACACCATGTCTTCCTCTACTGCTCTCTGACTTATTTTAGGGGCAGAGTCCCTCACTGAACCTTGCTCTTTTGGCTAGACTAGCTAGCCAGAAATCTCCCACACTCTACCTGTTTCTACCACCAGCACTGGGTTCCAGACATGCACCACTGCATCTGTCTTGTACATAGATGCCAGGGATTCAAACTCAAGTCCTCATGCCCATACAGCAAACATTTCTGCCCAATGAGCCATCTCTCTAGCCCCTGATTTTACTTTTTATAAGTAACCATGGAAACAATTCATTGCACCATAAAAGCAAACAGACCTAAAAGGTGAGTTAAGAAAGATCACAGGAAAAGAAAAAACTCCTAAATGAGTCATGTATTGGATGCTTGCACCCAAATGCATGTTGCCATTTGGGGAATGTCCTGGCTAATTTTATGTCAACTTGACATAAGCAACATTCGTCTGAAAGGAGGGAGTCTTAGTTGATAAAATGCCTCCATAAGATCAGGTTGAAAGGCATGTTCTTAATTAGTGATAGGGAGGGTCCACCCCTTTGTAGGCAGTGCCATCTCTGGGCTGGTGGCCCTGGATTCTATAAGAAAACAGGCTGAACAAGGCATGAGGGGCCCCTCCATGGCCTCTGCATCAGCTCCTGCCTCCAGGATCCTGCCCTGCTTGAGTTCCTGTCCTGACTTCCTCCAATGATAAATATGATACGGAAGTGTAAGCCAAATAACCTCTTTCCTCCCTAGCTTGCTTTTTGGTCATGGTGTTTCATCATAGCAATAGTAATCTAACTAAGAAAGGGAGGATGCCGACACTTTGAGAGATTGGGCATTCCTGAAGGAAGCAGGTCACTGGGGTGTGTCTTTGAAAGTTATATCTGGTTTCCAATTCCTTCCTTTTCTATTTCCTGCCCTTTACCACAAGGTGAACAACCTACCCATCCACAGACACATGGGCCAAGCAACCATGGAGTGAATCCTCTTAAACAGTGACCCAAAATAAATCTTTCTTCCTTTTTCTGACAAATATTGGTCATAGTGACACAAACTCACTAAATGGGGTTTCCCCTCCATTTCACAGGTGAGATTAGAAAGAAATTCCTGAGTTTGTGGTCAGCTTGGGCTATAGAGAGACAAAACCAAAAAATGAATAGGAAGGATCTGAAGAGACTTACCTGTGCTGTGCACAGCAGCTGCGTAGGAAAACAGAAAGAGTCTTTTCAGCAGTTTAGGAGCTTGGGTATGATGGATTATGCCACTGACAATCTAGAGAAAAACCAATGAATACTGTTATGCTTCTGATAAATCAACGCTAAGAAAAGTAGCCAACTCTGTTTTCTAACAAACTAATGGGCTCTGGGGACAGCACAACCATCACTGAACTTGGATCTGAGTTAGCTCTTAGAATAGTGCCAGGGCAACAGAATACTGTTTTATCACGCTTTCAAAGACCTGTGAATTTCTAGGGAAAATTTAAAACACAGTCTATATCTCATCTGCCCAATTAGGTCAGGTCCAAATATCCAACATGTCAAAGACTCACAACTGATAACAGACAATAAGAAGACTCACTTGTGGGGGCTCTAGACAATGAAGGAAGGGGCTAGGCATATAGCCCAGTCAGCAGTATGCTTGCCTAGCATGCACAAAGTCCTAGTAGTCCCAACACTCAGGAGGTAGAGGGAGGAGGAGCAAAGCCCCAAGGTCATTCCCAGCTACAGAGAACATTCGAGGCAGTCTGGGCAGCACAAGACCTTGTCTCAATAGGAAAGAGAAGAAAAGATATCTGTCACTGTGCTTTCTGACTATTGAGCTAATCAGAAGTACGTTTGGTTAAGCGACTAAAATAAGTGTTTAAAAGGAAATGCTTTGTTTCTCGGGAAATTTTCTCTATCTACAGTTTTCTTTGCCTGCTTAGAACAGATACTACAATCACATTTAATACTACTTTAACTGAACTACTATAGTATCTCAAGAAAAAATTAGGGCATTATCCATAGCGTGTCTTGTCATAATTACAGGTAGGACAGTGTAAGCAAACTGGCTTCTTGTTGGGCTTTCCCAAATGTGAGCACCGTGAAGGGAGCAGTTTAAGACCTTCATTGTCTCAGCAAGAAAAACCTTGGAAATTATAATGAATCTCAGCAAACTAGTACAGCCATTTCCTGATGGCAACTTGATGTGTCCACCAGGAAATGACGCTTAATCTTTACAGGTGCACTTAGCGACCTGACTTTGCTGATGAACAACTGCTGTTTCGAAGAGGTAAACACCCAGATTCTCTGGAGTTGGCAGCTGGCACTCCTATGTTAGATAACTGTGGGGGAAGGACCAGCCTTAGCTGCCCTTTCCTCCCCATTCTCAAGCAGACCCTGACCTCACTCAACACCTCCCACCCTTTAGTAGTTCTAGGTAACCAGCACTATGAATTGAAGGACTCAAGATGACACACGCCAAGTTAGAACGCTCATGCTTACCCCAACTCTCTCTCTCATACACACTAATCCAAGAGTGAGATTACAGCTGATTTTAGTTTCAGAAAGTAAAAAGCTCCCTTCCACCTTCAGGCAATACAACCAAAACCTACAGTCAGTGGGGGGGAAAACCTGATGGGAAATAAACCTAAAAATACATGCAACTAGTTACCCTTTTGACTTCCTCTTCCTTTGTGTACCTCAGACAAAAGTGCAGCACCCGCAGATCTTTGCAGTGGATAACAAGCTTCTCGGGATATTTCTTCAGTTGTCCAAACAGAGGTTTTTTTTTCTCATCAAACACTACAGATCAATGATGAAATCATGAGTAGAAATGAATGTTATAAGGGAACAAATTAATGCTAAAGGAGCAGGTAGACTGTTAGCTTCTAAGGTCAGAAATCCCTCCCAGAAGTATTCTTTTTTTTGTTTGTTTTTTTGCTGCTAGTTTTTTTTGTTTTTATGTTGTTTTTTTGATTTGTTTGCTTTTGTTTGTTTTTTTGATTTTTTTTTTTTTTTTTTTGGTTTTTTTTTCGAGACAGGGTTTCTCTGTGTATCTTTGGAACCTATCCTGGCACTCGCTCTGGAGACCAGGCTGGCCTCGAACTCACAGAGATCCATCTGCCTCTGCCTCTCGAGTGCTGGGATTAAAGGCGTGTGCCACCAACGCCTGGCTGTTTTGGTTTTTTTCAAGACAGGGTTTCTCGTTTCTCGATGTAGTTCTGGCTAATCTGGATCTAAGTTTGTAGATCAGACTGGCCAGGAACTGAGATCCACCAGCCTCTGCCTCCAAAGTGCTGGGATTAAAGGCGTGTATCACCACGTCCGGTTTCCAGCAAGATTTTTTACTCCTCTGGAGTAAGACTCAAATGGACAGACCAGATTCCAACAGCCTAAAGAAAGCGAAGCTCTGATGGGCCCGAGAGACAGCTCAGTAGCTATGAGCACTTCTTGCTCTTCCAGAGGACCAGAGTTCAGTTCCCAGCATCCATGTAGGTGGTTCACAACTGCCTATAACTCTAGCTCCAGGAGACTGGATACCCTCTTCTGACTTCTACTCACACATGCACGAGTGTACACACACACAATAAACCTTGGATCGAGGAGATGGCTCAGTGGTTAAGAGCACTTGATGCTCTTGCAGAAGAGAGGATTGGTTTCCAGCACACACAGGAGGGAGGTTCACAACCTTCCATAATCCCAGTCCCAGGAGATCCAATACCCTCTTTGGCCCCCACAGGGACCAGGCATGCATGTGGTACACACACACGCACACGCACACGCACACGCACGCAAACACTCAAACACATAAAATTTAAAAATAAATACTTAAAAGGGAAAAGCTGCAAAACTGCAAAGTTGAGATCATAAAGAATGAAAGGGAGAGTGTTGGGGACATACTTTTATGCTAGCCAACTCTTACATTTATTACTAGAATCCCTCTTGACATGTCCATCCTTGCTCCACAGCCTGGACTCACTCAGCACCTACTGGCATTGAGAATACCACAGGTGGCTAAACAATTTCTGAAAATGTCCTGAACTCCAAAATGGAGAACAGAAAACAGAGCAACACTTGGAAGGATAGTCTTATTAAGTTGGCAGAATAGACAGCCTAATATTATAAAACCAAGCTTTTTTTTTTTTTTTTTGAGACAAGGTTTCTGTCCTGGAACTCACTCTATAGACCAGCCTAACTTCAGAGATCCACTTACCTCTGTTTCCTGGGATTGTAGGTGTATACTATCACACAGCTCAAGTTTTTCCTTATATTTTCATTGTGTATACTCACTGAACATGGTACTATGTTTTCTAAGGACACTACCATACAAGCATTTAATGTGTGTCAAGTATATCCCCATTACCTGTGTACAATGAACTGTAACTGATCAACATCTGATGGGGATGTTCTTCTGTATTTATGTTTCTCTTATTGGTTGATGAATAAAACACTGATTGACCAGTAGCCAGGCAGAAAGTATAGGCGGGGCTACAAGAAAAGGAGAATTCTGGGGAGAAGGCAGAGAGAAGTGGGCGGAGAGACCATGTAGCCGACAAAAGAGTAACATGCCTGATTACAGGTAAGCCACAGCCTCAAGGCAATACATAGTTTAATAGAAATGGGTTAATAATTAAGAGAGAGCTAGCCAATAAGAAGCCTGGGCCATTGGTGAAACAGTTCAAAATTAATATAAGCATCAGTGTGTTTATTTGGGGCTAAACAGCTGCAGGACCAGGCAGAACAGAAACTGTTTACAAACATCTAACAGAATAGTTTTATGTGGAGTATTAGGAAAAACAAGCTTCAGGCTAAGTGTGATGGCTTGCACCTGAAAACTCAGCATGCAGGAACAAGAGACAGAGGCAAGAAGATCCTAAGTTTGAGGCTAGTGGGCTATATTGAAACAAACAAACAAAAAAACTATCTCCAAAAAAAACAAAAACAAAACAAAGGTGAGTCAATAAGATGGCTCAGTGACTAAAGGGGCTTGCCACTAAGCCTGGTGACCTGAGTTTGATCCCCAGGATCCACTGGGTGGAAGCGCCTGCATGCTGCCCTCTGACCTCCACATGCATACTCATACAAACACAGCCACTCACACACAAACAAAGAAAAGAGAATGAGATAGAGAGAAGAGGTTCCAAGCCCATCTTGGTTCACTTCTAACCAAGTAACCCTGGGTGAGTCACTCCATGCTGCACTTACCATTCCCCAAGCTGCTTTACACAGCAGTTTAACAGATTATAAGAGCATCATCATTATTGGTGCATATTCTGAGGCAGGCAAAGCCACAAGGGAAAGTGACACTCACCTCCATAAATCTGATCCACACAGTGAAGTGGAACATCATTTTCTCCTACAATCTTATTCTTAAACTGAGTTTCCTAAAAAGGAAAAACAAATCAAAAGGAAGTAAGTGTGACTCCTTTCAATGAACTCAAACATTTATGGCAAAGCAAATCACTGTTACTGCAGTACATGAGAAAAAATCCGCTGAGCACCAGCTGTTTCAATCCAGGCTGTACCTAGGAAACCCACTGTGCTGCTGAAATCAAGTGAGAAGTGACGGTTAGCACTTCTGCACACAGTGCACACAGGCAGAGACAAAGCTACCTGGGCAGCTCAGGGAAGCAATGGGAGAGTCAAGTGTTTGGTGATAGCTGTCTTTGCTTAGGACTAGGAGCCAAGCCCTGCAATAAACAGTGGTGTAGAAGGCCAGGCCAGGAAGTACCAACAGTGCTGCTTATACCAAGCAAAGGGGTCTAGGGCAGCTGCCACATGGAGGGTCAGGCAGGGGACTGTGGGGTTTCCACTGGGGTGCAGTGCTGTCCCTCCTCTACCACTCCCTCCTAAGTAGAAATAAGTCTCACAACGATGCTGCAACTAGGTTCAGATCAAACAGAAACAAGCCAAGCTCAAAGGTTGCACTCCAGACCTCAGTCCCCAAATCTTTGAAAGAGCTTAGTAGAGGAAAACAAGAGGAACTGTACATGGGTGAGGTTGCTCTAACACGTGACTCGTGCTGTGCTGAATTCAGAAGAAATGGGGAAAAGCTGATGATGTCAGCTTAGAAGCAAAAAGCAAGCGAGTGAGTATGAAGCACAGGTAGTGATTTCTAGGAGGTCCTCCTGGTAGAAGGAGCCCCTGAAGGGCAAGAGTAGACCACTAATGGGAGAGATGTCCTTCGCTTGTGTTGGGAGAAGGGAGAAGTTGCACTTTCCCTACCACTCAGAACAACAGTTCATACGTACACCTCCGTTGTCCAAGGCTGAGTTGTCATCCCCCAAGAAGGCGATCTTGAAGTCTGTGCAGACGAGTCTCCCATAGACGCCCCGCTGACAGGAATCTTCCTGCACATACTTCAGGACTGTGCTGGCTTCACAAAGCAGTTGTTCACCTGATGGAAACCAAAGCGAACTCTCCTCAGAGGCTGCAGGGATGCACACAACTGCGAGCACTGAGTTTTCTCACTGTTTACATATGGCAAACACACAGTGCAGTGCAGCACTTGACAGCAGCTCACTCCAGAGGGGCAGGAACTGTAAACTGAGGAGAGAAAGTGGGACCAAGTAGGGAGAACCATATGGCTCAGAGACATTACATGTTGGGATTTCTCTGACTTCTCACTAAGTCAAGCCTCTTCTCTCTCCTTTGAAGACAGGGTCTCACTATATTACACAGACTGGCTTTGAGTTTACTATGTAGCCTGGATTGGCCACCTTAACTCATAGTAATCCTCCTGCCTCAGTCTCCCAAGTGCTGGGATTAGAGTTGTGCCCCCTTTGTCTGGCTTTCAGCTACCTTCTCTAGTGTAGACCTTGGTGTTTTCATTACTTTGACAAATACTTTGTATTTGTCATTACAATGACACTAGAAGTGGAGCAAAAGCATGCAGGTTGACCAGCTGGGCCTGGATTCAGAGTCATCCACCTTTTCTGTGTAAGCCAGGGCTTCTGTGCAGCTTCCTCAGATGACAGAGGTGTTGGCTCATGTTGGAGGATGAGAGGGAGAAGGAGGTCATGGGAGGGAGCATAGTCTCTCTTCCTTAGTTCAAAGCATTTCCTCTTGCTGTGCCACCTCCCCTGCTCCATCTGTTGGCACCCGGCCCACATTAGAAGCTATAGGTCCTGAAAGTAGACTCCACACCCAACAATCACCAGGGCTGGAGCTCGGTGAGCATCCTCTGCTCCCTAGAAGCAGAGAACACCTGCTGGTGTCTGGGTGAAGACAGGAAGAGAAGGACATGAAGGAAATAAGAGAGCCAACTTCTCAACAACAACAACAGAATTTTCTTGTCATCTAACAGATAACTATCTTCCCCACAGGGCCTCCAGCTTTCTTCATCTTTGAATTTACTTGTTGGATAAAAATTCATTTAATATAGCTTTAAAAAATAACACCCGGGTGGTGGTGGCTCAGCCTTTAATCCCAGCACTTAGGAGGCAGAGGCAGACAGATCCTCAAGGCCAGCCTGGTCTACACAGTGAGCTCCAGGACAGCCAGGGCTACACAGAGAAACCCTGGTTGTGGCGGGGTTGGGGGTGGCAATAAAAAGTCAGGCATCCTTGGAAACTACACATTACAAGAAAAACAAAAACCTTTTGAAACTGGATGCAGCATGTACATCTGTGAGCCCAGTATTCAGGAGACAGAGGAGAAGGGTCACAAATCCCAGGCCACCCTGAGCTGTGTGAAATCTAGTTTCAAAATAAACAAAACATTTATAAAAATAAATTATTTTTATATAGTTGGCAACATTTTCCACATAAGAGGGAGATGAAGTCAGAGTGATTAAAACTTAACATGAGAGGTAGCCACTCTCCTCTGTCTCACAAACAGTCAACCAATCCAGGCTCCTCACAATGAATGACTTCAGAGCAGAGCCCCAGTGGCCCCAGTATCTCTGGTACCTATGCTGAAATACACCAGCAGACAGACAGGTGAGGCCCCCATCACCAGCCCTATGAGGCCCAGGCAGCAGGAAGAACATACAGACTATAGGATTCTTCCAGGACACAGTCAAGTAGGACACCCACAAAAAGGGTTCACTGGCTATGAAAGAAGTGAGAATTTCCCATTCATTCCCATCAGGTTGGAGGAAAGGGAAACAAGGAAAATTCTTTCCCAATGTTGTAACTCCCTGAGCCAGGTGTAGTTACTGAAGACCTTGACATCTTTGTTATGATACATCATCACTGTTATGTGCCAGAGGATGAAAACAAAAGAGCTTATAATAGCAATGCTAGGGATGATGTAATCTACCTTTGGCCCTGAGCTGTATGTGAGATATGATGCCAACACAAGCGTTACCTGGCAACAAGCGAAGAGTGACTTCCTTCTCTGTTACTTCCTTTTCATTTGAGTGAATTTCCTAAAAATAAACAAATAAACAAATAAATACAAGAGCAAAAGGTCATGATTTTCTTTGTTTAAGGGCTCAAAATAACAATATAGGCATGCTTTGAGAATACACATTAAAATATTACCTATGCTCAATAAGTTTATGTTGATTTAATAACCTATTGTCATTACATTTATTTACTTATTGTGCCTATATAGACATGTAAGCATAGGCATGTGCCACAGTGTGTGTGTGTGGGGGGATCATCAGAGTTGGATTTCTCCTTCTACCATGTAAGTCCCAGGGATCAAACTCAGGTCACCTTTTAGGCTTCGTAGCAAGTACAGTTATCCAATGAACTATCTCACTGCCCTTTAGCAAGCTACTTTTAAATACATGGTTAGGGGGCAGGAGCTGTTGCCTAACATGCATAAATCCCCAGCATGAAAAACAAAAGCAAGCAAACAAACAAAAAACAGGATGTGGAGGGATGACTCCTTCAGTAAAGTACTTTCTGAAAAAAAAAAAAAAGGCACTGGGACCTAAACTTAGTTGCCAACACTCATGTAACAGCTGGCACAGCAGCATGCACCTACAATTCTAATACTGGGAAAGCAGAGATGACGATCCCTGGTGCTTATCTGCTAGGTAGTCTAACCAAACAGGTAAGCCCCAGGCTCAGTGAGAGACTGTCTCAAAAAATAACATGGAAGGCAACAAAAGAAGACACCCAATATCAACTTATGGCCTCCACAAACACATTCATGTACATGTACATGTACATGTGTACCTATGCAAACAGAACTTGGTAGAACATGCCAGTAAAAACAGCACTCAGGAGGTTGGGGCAGGGGGATCGAGAGGGTTAAGGTCGTTCTTAGCTTTATAGCAAACATGAGACCAGCTTGGGCTAAATGAGACTCTTAAAAAATAAAAATAAGAGTCCGGTGGTGGTACATGTCTTTAATCCCAGCACTTTGGGAAGCAGAGGCAGGCAGATACCCAAGGCCAACCTGATCTACAGAGCAAGTTCCAGGACAGCCAGGGCTAAGGAGAAACAGCAATAATAATGGGTCTGAATGGTTCACTGTAAAAGCACTTGCTCTAATCCTGATGACCTGATCATGTAGTAGAAGAGAACTAACCCCACCAAGTTGTCCTCTGACTTTATGGTGTGGTGGCCCTAACTGTAAACCCAGCATTTGGAAGGCTGAGGCAGGAAGCAGGAGTTGAAGGGTCTTCACTGGCTAACAGAGTGAGTTCCAGGCCAACCTGGACTACAGAAAACCCTGCCTCACAAAACAATAAAACTAAAATAAATAAATATATCTTTAAATAAAGGTGGACAGAAAAATTCTAGTAAGTTTTAGTGATAGTCAATACATTAAACTAGATTTTAAGGTTTATAATCTATTAGCACTCAGGAGGCAGAAGCAGGTGGGTTCAAGGCCAGAGTTCCAGGACAGTCTCCAAAGCTACACAGAGAACCCCTGTCTTGAAAAAGCAAAACAAAAATTAAATATTTATATCTATTAGTCGCCCCAAGCAGAAAGGCATAGGTAGTCATCCTTCATATGGAGGAACAAGTTAAAATGGCACCTAGGCAAAGAAACATAACTTGGACAGTCAGGAAGAAATAGGAGATATGTCAGAGAATAAGCCCCTCTGTCTCCAAAGAAAATCAAGGGTTGAAAGCAAGAGAGAGTGGGCCTTTTTAGGAAAAAACAAAAACAAAAACAAAAACAAAAACAAAACAAAACAAAAAACCTATACCTATCTATAAGAGACAAGCATAGGAACACAGGACAGAACAGTGTGTAGTCAGTACAGATACAATATCTACCTATAAAAGACAAACACAGGGACACAGAACAGTATGTAGTCAATAAAGATAAAATATCTACCTATAAAAGACAAACATAGGGACACAGGACAGTGTGTAGTCAGTACAGATCCAACTACTCTATGTAGCACACTAGGTTAGGACTCAGTGCAGACACCTGGAATATCCACTGTCTAAGTTACTTAAAACCACAAGATGTTGCCAAACGTTGCAATCACTTCTACTGGGAGATCAAGGCCTGGCTCAATGTCAGTTTTTCAATAAATATATCCTCAGGTCCCTCTATTTTGTGTTCTGAATTTATTGAATATTCAAGCATACTTTGTAAACTTTAATGAGTGACTTAGCACAAACCCTTGTTAACATAACAAGAGGTTAAGCCTCATAGTGAAATCTGCCAAGCCATCTAAAAGGTATTCCTAACAAACTGCCTAATCTCAAACACACCTCGAGTCCCAAGACTCGAGAGAGTCAGAGGGACTTCTACGCTTGAAACAGTGTGAGCTACACATTAAAATCTAGGTCAGCCTAGGATACAGAGTAAGAGCCAGATAAGGATAGAAGGCTAGAAGAAAGAAAGGAGGGAAGGAGTGAAGGACAACAGGGAGGGAAGGAAGGAAAAGGTTAGGCTAGTGGTGGAAGCCTGTGATCCTGGTCACTCAGGAGGCTGAGGCTTTATGGTACACTGTGAAGGATGCTCACCTAAAGCCCTGCTCCAGGGTTTTGGGAGCATGAAAGGCACCGAACTGCAGGGAGACCAACAGAGGAGGTAAAAAAGAAACTAGCAAACATCCTTCTAAGAAATGACAAATGAGGTCTATAAGCAGAGAGACAATGTAGAGACAGTACAAACAGTGGCAGCTGACACCATGAGAGGTGAGAAACAACAGGCTGGGATTTGGGCTTTCATCCCATGGGCAACAAGAGACAGGAAAAGTAAGGAGTAAACTGAGTACATAGTATTTACCATCTCGAATAAATATCATTCAAGAAAAAGCACAGGGCTGAATCAGGAGCATGAATGGACTGTAGCTGATAAGGACAGATGCCCCACTTTCAGAGAAGGGTCCAAAGGGAAGGAATGAAGAGCTGTCCTGCCTGCCTTGTGACACCAGTACCAAGACAGCCTGTGCAAGGGTCAAGCCATGTCCTGGAGGTCAGTCTGAGCATCTGCATCCAGAATGGAGGTGGGGTGCTTTGGTTGAAAAGAAAAGGCTGGGGTATAGCTCAGTGGTAGGCCTCAATTAACATGAGACCTTGGGTTCAAGCCCCAGCAATTAAAACAAAGAAACAAAGGAGAGGATGTGGCAGAATATTATTTTAAGGTGTTTGACTTTTGTTTACACTGAATTTGTTTAACTCTGTGAAGCTGTGATTCTTTGCCTATCTAAAACACCTGATGGTCCTAATAAAGAGCTGTAAGGCCAATAGGGAGGCAGGAGAAAGGATAGGCGGGGCTGGCAGGCAGAAAGGTTAAATAGAAAGAGAAACAAGGAAGAAGAGCAAGAGAACAAGGAGAGGAAGACTTCAGGAGACAGCCACACACAGCAATCTACAGAGATTTACAGAAGTAAGAGAACAGGAAAAGCCCAGAGGCAAAAGGTAGATGGGTTAATTTAAGAAAAGCTGGCTAGAAATAAGCCAAGCTAAGGCCAGGCATTCATAATTAAGTAAAGAATAAGCAGGCATTCATAAATAAGAATCCATGTGTGATTTATTTGGGAGCTGGATAGCGGGCCTCCCAAAAGAGAAAAAACTTTTTACTACAAGGAGAAGAGGAGGAAAAAAGAAACTGAAAAGAAAGACCCCTAGAGGAAGACCCACTATCTCCATTCAGAAACACAGGTCACAGCTAACATGGTGTTCACAGAATGCTCTCAACCAGTAGAAGAGGCTGTGTTTAGTACTACCTTTAACTCTAAAGCATTGACTTCTCCCTTGAAATAATTTTAAATACATTTTAAAGTCAGTACCAAGCT